TAAACTAAATATCTCTACGTTTTGGCCTTTAAATTAAATACAATACTGTGCAAAAGTCTTGAGTCACCCAAACGTCTTTGCAATTTGCCTCGTTTTTTAAAGTTGTGTTGACCAGTAGCTCTCTAGGCTTTCTGAAGACATTCACCTCTTCCTTGAAAATCACCATTTACAGTGTTTTTTGTGTTTGTTAAGGACCGTTGTGTCAACACATAACAGGCAACTTACCAAATAACCAATTTGAAATTGTATGTCTGTTATTAGCAGCCTGTGGCGAGAACACATAATTGTTTCCCTTTTCTTTAGATCAATTTATGAAAAATGCCAAAGAAAACACAGTTTGACTTGCATAAAATAGTGTTTTTATACCAGCAAGGTGATTTGCAGAAGACCAATTAGCTAAAAACTTGGTATATCTCAGCATGGTGTGCAGTGTGTCCTTAAATTACTAAACAAGTGGCGAACAAAAGAAGAAGCGGAATAAAAGAGAAACTTGAACAAAACGAGGAACGCCAAATTACACCAGAGCTAGACTCAAATCAGCAGCAATAGAACAGTAAGAGTCTGCAGTAAAACACATTGGAGGCTTTGTTATGGTTGGGCTTCATTTTGTAAAACTGATGGAACAATGAAGACAAAAAAGTACCAACAGATGTTGATCCACCATGTTGTAATACCATCTGGAAAGCATCTGATTGGCAACAGCTTTATTTTTTAGCATGACAGAAATACCAAACAGACCAATCAGTCATGGATTGGCCTCCTCAGAGCCCAGATTCAACATTATTGAAGCAGTGTGGCATCATCTTCACAGAGGATGGAACAAAAACCAGGCAAGATTCAAAGAAGAGCTCTGAAGAAGCCTGGGGAACTATTGTATTATTGTGTATATGCCAAATATTCAAGGATTGTACAAATTCTTTTTGCCTTATATGTTTCAATAAATTACTATTAACACATCTATTTCCCATTTTCCTAGCAAGATATAATAATGAGGGGTGATTCAAGCCTTTTGCACAATATTGTACTTGTGTAAAAGTATTGCACACCTACACATGTGTCTGAAAATCTTCTGGTTTTAGAAGTGCTACATGTAATATAAAGGTTTGGGCATAAAAATGTTTTAAAGCGTTTAAACTATGTTTTTCATTAAAAACAATGTAAAGACAACATTTAACTAATTACCAACAATAGTAAAATTATTGGGTGTAAAATAGTAAAATCACATCTATTTCAGAAGTAAACGGGCTCACCACTGTGAAAGACTTATTAGCATTAATCTGGGGAAATTATCAACTATGCTGCATAACATTAGTAAGAGATTCAGAGAATTTCAAAAATCTCTTTGTGTCAATATGAATTGCTTTGAGTTTTGGATGCTGAGGCATTAACCGGCAGTCCTAACCCTAGCCTTAACTCTAACCCGTGGTAATCAGAAAACATAGTTTTTGTTTTCATTAAAGTCTTCTTCCAAGACACACATCAAAAAAAAATCAGATTTCTTTTTAGAAAATAATCTGTTTTGCTTTTCTGTAAAACATTGGGTTTGGGTAGTACTAGAGTCTTAAACCTCTGAAGCTCGAAATGCTGTTGCCCAAAGTAAAAAGAAAAAGATGTATACACACATTTCTATCTGTGATATACAATGAAGTGTATGGTTTAAATCACTTCCCAGTCAGTATCCTGGTTTACGTTTTGCACGGCATCTCAACTTTTGTCAAAACAAGGTTGCCGATAAACTTTGTGATGATCTCCAGCTCACCAGGAGACGCTTTTCTTTTCATTGGGTATGTAAGGAAGGCAAACAAAAGCATGCTGCAGCATTGTTAATAAAAACAGTTCAGTCGACAAGCATCTTTACATGACGTTGGAGTCTGTGCCCTGGCTGATCTCTGGGATCGGCTTGTAGGAGTGAAAGTAAATAAGACATTCAAACTGTCTTCGTGAACCTCTGCCAATGCAGCAGACATTGCCAAATAAGCTGAAAACACACAATTGCATCAAACTCTCCATTATGTTTTGAACCGAATCTTTTTCACCACAAACAGCTTGACAGACTGGCACAGTGGAGAAATATGCAGCCGCTACAAAGACACCCAACCAACATCAAAATCCCTGTACAAAAGTTGCTGCAAAGCTGTCCCAGTCGATGTAGTGCGGCATCTGTTTTGTATGAATCTCAGCGGTTGTTTGATGTGTGGGGTTTTTTCTTCTTTATTTCTGCAGCATCAGATTTTAAACTAAACTTAAGGTGTTGTATCTACAGCAAAAACTCTGGTATTGTAACAGCACAACACTACCGGCTCTGCTCCCATCAGCCGACACCTTTCCTCTCCCTGCTCTTCTCTCGCTCCATTTCTCTCACTCCCTTCAGTCTGTCTGGCTGCACTTCTGCATGCAGGTCAGGGTACTTAATTCATGTCCAGAGACATCGTTTCCTCATTCTCTGATATAGTCTGCGCAGGGAAGCTGACCAAACCTGCCTTACACTGGGGCTACACTGCCCCTCTCCCCAGGCCCCTCATCCCTCTGCTCCCACCTTCTGAGAGCACGCGATATGGAGGAACGTTGTAGACGGTCCCCAGCGGACCCTCTGATAACCCTCCTACCAAACCTCAGCTGAGGAACATTGGCGGCCTGGATATCGCCCAGCCGCTGAGGAATAATGAGAACAAAAGCATAATACATGGCTTTCTTTCTCTTTTTACCTTCTGCTCCTCCTCCACCTCCGTCCTGTTGCTGTTCTTCTTGTTTCGTTTCCCTCTTACATTTGCCAGTGTTCACTGGCCTTTGGAGGACAGCGGACAGAAAAAGAGAATGGGTGGGAGAAATGACTGAGCGCAGATATTCTGCCGCCCACGTAAGGGCCATTCTGTATGGTTTGCAAACAGTCATTTTGTTCAGTATCTTTACCCTGATCTTAAGGTAATAAACGGGCCTCGACATTGCCCGGGGTCTCCATTGGCATTCTGCTGGGTCAGATAAAGTGTGCAGAAGCAGATTGCTTAAAAAGATAGAACGGGCCGCTCCACATACAGCCGTGTACTCTATTAGATGTTGATTCAGAGGCTTAATTCAGATAAAGCTCTACAAATGCTGTACAAGATGTAAGCCTATACGTTGATGTGCAAACATACTAATCTTAAATTTATCGTGTTAGGCAGCACTCAGCCTGCCCATCAGTCAGATGACTGACATTCAGCATACAGAAATGTGAGCGTGTCTGCCCTTCGCATTCCTGTTATGATTTTGGTCTTGTGCCCAGCTTTTCCTGTATTTGATTTTCATGAAATCTTTTGACGTGAGCATTTTGATTTCAACGTGTAAGGTTTGATATGGGAATAAAAAATAAGGGTGATGTAGCTTTTTCTGGGTCACCTAGTTGGTTTTTAAATAATCCCAAGGTGATGCATTTAGATTGTTTCACTTCTATTATTCACAGAATGTAAAAAATGTTGAAATTATAATGATATACAACGTTTCCTAAACAATGCCCGGGGCATTTATTTATCTAAGCTGCACAGGCCAGCATTGCTATATTTGCAGCAGCCTTGTATTAGAGGCCAAATATTATTTGCAAGTCCTTCTGTTTGATTAGAATAAGTGATCATGTTAACTCAACAAAGCCTTGCCCTGATATGTTTACATTTGCTCTTAATGGGTCACTGCCTTTAGCAAGCAATGACAAATGGATGATGATTTTCATTATTATTATTATTGCGTTTTTTATGTAAATTCTTTTCTCCTAAAATGGAGATGAAAACCAGTTACCCACTGCACTCATGTTGTCACAGCTTCACTAATGCAACATGAAAATCAAGCACTGCATGACCAAATTAACTGTGAATATAATGCTGCAGTCACACTAGGGAAAACACTAGTTGGAGACTGCAGCACAACCCAAATTACTGCAGCTCTGTGCAATGAACTAGAAATATCTTTCCTTTGAAATAGTTGTTTAGTAGGTTTGCAGCTGCACACGGTCAGTTGCCACCTCAAAGCATCAAGACAGAAAGAAAATGGCAGCACAATGGAATCGGTCTGCGACGAGAAAGGGGTCAAGTTGGTAATTACATACAGACTTTCATAATACAGCAATTAATTGTGATAGAATTCAGAAAAATGCAAACCCGTTGCTGCCTACATGCTTGAAGTTATTTATTGTCGTGGGTTTGAGCTCTTGATAGCAGTTCTCTTGGAGCTCTGGAGATGCACCTGACTTGGAAAACTTTGTGCAGCCGTTTTAATGATCAAAAAGTCCAAGCATTGGACTGCCTCCAAAACAAAAATGAATCTTCATCTTTTGGGTTGTTTTATAAGTTTGTCTCTGTGAAACGTTTTCAGCCATTTATTTATTTTTGTCTTTCATTTGGAGTACAGCTTGTGTTTGTTCATATCAACCACACCCATGGCTATTAACTGTCGAGACTACCGATTATTATTTATTTATTTTAGGAAATGTGGTAAAGCACAGAGAAACTGACAATCTTCACATTTGAGAAGCTGAACCTTGCTGAAGGTTTGGCTCATTACAAAATCTACAACTAATTAATTTCAGTTCACCTGCGAAAGCAAACGAAAGCTCCCAGCAGCAGTAAACCACCTGTAGCGCGCAGGTTTTTTCCTGCTGATCAGTTCCATCTGGAGGGAAAGTGAAAGCTCACTGAAGCGATTCAGCGATGAGAAGTGAAGGGAAATGTAAAGGCGAGGATTTGGATGGAAATGTCTTTGTGAAATGATTTTTTTTTTTTTGCATTTCTAATATAAATTCCTTCTTTTCCTTATGTTTAAGATTGAGGTTTTGTGGCTATAAAATGACTTCATAGATCTTCATATCCGTAGATTCTTAAGATGTGTTTAAAGATATATGTTTGTTATTGTGCACTGAAGACTAAGCGGGTGTTAACGACAGGTTATGAAACAAAACGAGAGCTTGTGCAGTAACAAATTACTTCCTCTCCTCCCAATATTGACACTCTGCTTTGTCTTTGTAAATGTTCTAGATGCTGATTGCCGCCCAATGTGAGTCTGAGGAGCCTTTCCTGATTACAGCATGAGAACTGATCCGATACTCTGACCGAAAACAAACAAAAAAAACCCTGGACACAGACCACTGAGGAGTGGAAAGAAAACAGAAGGCTGTGGTGGCGTGGCCATGGATAGAAGGAAAGTTTGCATATTAATGGTGCTGTGGGCCTTGGTCCACCTCAGCTCTCCAGGTCAAGGGCTCAGGGCCTTGAGAAGGACTACAGGGGGGCGGAGGGGGTCAGGACTGACAGGACAGGATGCCAACGGAGTGCCACTGAGACGCTCTAAGCGAGGTTGGATGTGGAACCAGTTCTTTTTGTTGGAGGAGTACACCGGGACCGATAAGCAGTACGTCGGAAAGGTAGTACAAGGCTCAACTTTCTTTCCTTTTTCTTTGTCAGATGCAGCAGAGCATCTGCACTACAGGCAGATGCAAACTGCAGCTGCTCTGTTACACCGAAACCTGCTGCAGATGAAACACAGCAGCTTCATGTCATGACTAAAGATGAGCCCACATCCGACCATCCACTCACGCACAAGCATTACACACAGGCTAAACAAAACAACATGTGATAAAAAACAACAAAACAGTGATGAGGTTTTTGTTCTGCTTTGTCTAGGCACCAGTTTTAAGTGCATGCACAGACACCTCAATAAGCCCCGCAGATGAGTTTTCAGAGCTTTTTCAGTGAGTGCACATAAATCAGACACATCAATGGAAATAAAACAAAATGGCCATAATATAGTATGCTAATTAAGGCAGGAAATTGAACCTTAAAACTCTTTTGTGGACACTAAAGCGTATCCATTGCATACAGAAAGCATGTCAGGCATAAAAAAGCACTAAGTGACAAAAGTAGGTACTGAATGCCTCCTCAGATTTACTATCTCGACTTATAGATAGTTGCTAATTCAAATTCAGATAGTGCTGGTGTTCATCTATTAAAGTAAATCCCCGTAGAAGTGCCGTCGGTACTTAATATTTATGAAGTTAGGATGCTTTAAGTAAAAATCTGAAGGAAAGATTTACAAGAAAAATACCAGAGTGCACTACTCTCGGGGTGCTTTTACTTGGATAAAATAAATGGCAGAGGTCAGGCTAGTGAGAGCTGGACCTCTCACATTTGAAAGATTTAACATGGGAAAAGTCTATTGATGCAAAATATAAGATGTTTATAGTGAAACCTGTATAAAAATGGTCAGAATTTTCATTTTATGTAGTATAATTATTTTTATAATAACAACGAGCAAGTCGTGTTTTCGTAGTTTTATACACATGCACATATAGCTCTCAATTTGGGCCCAAGTGTCGTTTGGTGTGGCTTAAACTGCACCCATATTTTGTTTTTCAATTTTCATCTTCAATTTGTTCACGGGGAATGAAAGGAAGTAGTTGGTGAGAGCAGCCATAACAGCATTATAGTTTGGAAAAGAAAATAGCAGCACATACAGAATCTCCAACGTCATTATGAAAACTGTCTGGACTGTAAAATTGATAAGTGATCACCAGAAAGTGCCAACAGCAATGACTGCTGTAGTAATGAAGATGTTTGCAGCAAAGTAGATACTGGAGATTGGTTGTATATGTCTGCTATCAGGGCGTCTTTGAGAATTCAGATTTGTAAACAGGGTGTCTGCAGGTAAACGAGTTACATTTAAGACCTTTCAGGACCTTTTGCATAGTACTTTAAGTCAAATTTAAGATCAAACTTTCACAGCAGAAGTTAAAGTTTACTCTTTTCAGTTGGCGTCAGTTTAAAATGAACAGTAAGGTTAAATAGAATAGAATAGAAATGAATAGAAATAGAGTATTGATGAATGTTCTCCAAATCTTGAACTGAAACCATGGGCTTGTGTGTGATCTGAATGTGTAAAGCAGTGAAATTGTCACAGTGACTGGTCTTGAACTTGTGGCTCCAGACCAACATTTGGCTCTTTTTTCCCTGTCTCCAGTGGTTAAGTGTGACTTTGACAAACAACTAGATGAATCTAATTATTTAAATGAATAACGCCAAGGCCGTCAGTCTCCTTGATCTGCAGCTGGATTTTGTCAAAATTAAACTGAAACTTTTTCTTTTGTTTTGTGTTTTTAAAGTAGGATTTTTTTAATTTGATTCAGTTGCACAAACACAGGCACTGTAGGACTGCTGTTTTATGTAGGCCTACATGTGGTAGTGGATACTTTGTTACTTTGGTTCTAGTCTGTACTTACTTTTGCAAATTTTGTGGCAATTTTTGCTCAAATTTTTTTTCCCAAGAAACACTCCAACACTGTTGGCCTAGGACCCAAACAAACAAAATTTTAAATAGTTTTCTATTTTTAATTGTACATTTGTATTCAAGACATTTTAACATAGTGAGGTCTAAGTTATCGTTCCAAACTCCAAAACTGACCCTAAACCTGACGCTAAGATATCAGAATAGGCCATTTTTGGTTTTAGTTCATGGGTTTCATGCTGTGAGAAGACGTCGCCTCTTTCTCTGTCCACAATTTGCAAAAATCGTTATTCTGTAATTTGATCCAAATTGCACAGAATGCTCACCTACTGGATCTTTATTCATATTATGCAAGGTCACACTTGCATCAAGGTCAAGGGCACACTTGTCACTTTACGTGCAATAACCTGAGACTTATGACGACTCACTCTAAATGACGCACATGAAAAATATTTTATAATTTTTTTTGGAAGACGTTCTTTTGCCTTTTTCCAAAATATAGAAAATATATTAATCCCCTGAAATCTATGTTTCTTAAGAAAAGCTGAAAAGACTTGAAAAACATAATCCCTAAAAGGTTATTTTATATTCATTTTTTATACATTGTTTCAACAAGCCTTTCCATAATGGTGTTTGCTGTAAAGTAAAATAATGGGACTGTGGCTTTCCCCACGTCTGAAACTGGCCAGATGGGAAAATCAAACGTATCACCCACCAGTGCAAAAGAAGCGAAAGTAATGAACTGCTTCTTGCAAATTAGAACTTGCAGTCCCTAGATTCTCTGTTTAGTGTCTTTTTTCTTAATGCTTTTTAGTTGTTTACCTTTTTGTTTTTCAGTTTGCATGAAGACGCCATCTACGAAACACAACATGAACTTTCAGTACTGAGGCAGTGCTATTTATGTTCATCTAAAAATGCCTCATTATGTGCTGTCTTGTCAATACATATTTATGAAGAGCAATCTGTTATTTATCAGTCCAAATTAATGCACATTTCACCAAATATTGCTTCGTTTACATGCTACAGTCACACACACAGAAAATTGTGAATTTGTGATACAGCAATTTTGATATTCATTTCCTATAATAGCACTGATAGGCAGAACCTAACTACCTGTGGTGCCTAGTCTCGGTACCATAATACATACACTATGTAATTGTCCTCTGCAAACTACACTCAGTGGCAACGATCGCCGCTTAATGACATCCTTCACAACAAATAAAGTCCTGTATACGAATGTATCATTCTGTCCCCGCGAATACGAGAATCAACCCGTCATCTATTAGTCGACGTGACGTGATACTCCGATCGAGTAATGCTCACATATCGGACTTCCATCCATCCATCCCCGGGCTTTGTTTGCTGTCGGCTGTCCAATATATTTTGTGCTTACTGTCAGCTCTGTGGCTTCTTGCACAATGTCCATTCCACTCACATCAAACCATCCTAAAGCGGCTGTCTTGCCCTACAGTGAAATATGACTTCCGCCGAAGGTATTATTTGTTCAACAAAATGAAAACACAGTGTCGACCCAGATAACATTGGGAGGGGGTGCACAAGAAGATGGGCCAAATAATGCTTGCTTTACATGCAGCGAAGCGGAAGTCAAGATATCAGTCTCCTCTTCCAACCTACTGTAATTGAGGAGATTGTGAAGCGTTGTGGCAAGGTCAGGATGTCTGAGTCGGAAGAAAGGCTGTTTTGTGCGAGGGGCTGAATGGGGCTAGTGCTTTGCATTCCTATCGTGCGTCCACGGAGGATGGAGTCATCCAACCAAATGAGATTCTGCAACATACGTCCTCCCCGAGTGAGGGTTGACTTTCAGTTCTTGCCTAAAAGGATTACAACATTTGCGGGCGAGCAAATACAAGAAAGAACAAAAAAAAAGTTGAAAAGAAAACCCCAGAATGAATGAAGATCAAAAGTAAATACAGAGCTTGATCAAACCACTTTGTCTTTGGAGAGTGGTGATTGATGTCCCACTTGTCCTTTTAGCTTGTAAAGGGACTAATAGCATAAGAAGAATGGATTATCTGAGTGAGGTATATACTTAGAGAGTAGGAGGCCGCGACCTAAGAGCCCATATCCTGAAGACACCATTAAAGCATCAACCTTCGAGCAGCGCACTTAATCATGACTGTGAGCACTTGTTGTTTCCCCTCCTAAGTACGTGCAGCTGGGTGCTTTTCCTCATTGTCAGCTCACTAGCCAGTTGTCACATAGGATTGCAGTATGTAGATCTTATCTGATTGCAATTACTGTTTGGTAATTGCCAGATAAAGTACAAGTGATGAATGAAGCCCTAAAGGGAATGAATAGCTTTTGAGTTGAACACATGGCTCAACATAGAGTGCAAGCATCTGCATCTGTATCCTCAGGTGGAGGCCGTATTTTTTGCCATGTAAAGGCTCCGAATGGGTGAAAAACTACAAGAAACACAAAAGAGAAGGCTTTTGTCACTGCGAATGACATTGTGGCAGCCGGCGAGCACAGCGTGGAACAAAACCGCTTTTGTTTGTGATGGAAAAAAAACAACTGGAAATAACACAATGACAGGTTATTATAAACAAGGGAGCTGCGCTTGACACACAGTAAAAGATAGAATGATGAAACTGCTCTTGAATTACAACATCGCGTCTGCAGTTATTTGGTAAACTCAATCTCCTTCGGCTTAGTTTTTTTAATTTATTTATTTTTGCTCTTTACAACAGCTTTATCGAGCTGTGAAGTACTAACAAATGAAATTGCAATTTTTCCAGAGCAAGCGTAACAAAAGCAGCTGGAACAGGAAGAAATTAAGAGAAGCGATCAAGATGTGATGGAAAAGACTCTGGCAGTGGCTTGTTGGGGGAGCTGGTTGGCTGCTAATCTCGCTGTATTGGCCAATGATTTTCTTTTTCCTGCAGAAAGGGAAGCCTTGCACTGCCTCTCATTAGCAGGCGAGCTGCATACAGGCCTCAGAGGGCCTGGGTTGTCACTGGGGGAAGAGAATGTTTGTTTATTTCATTATTTCTTACTTTACCAAAGGGCACATATCCACTGAAAATGGTTAATGGCCTGTGGTTGAGGAGTGTTTGTGCTGCACTATCATATCTCATAAAGTATTTACAGCCCCTGATAGGCCCCAGTGGTTCTGGGCCTGGT